AGGGGGGAGGGAGGAGAGATCAATGATGCGAGAGAGTCACTTATCGGCTGCCTCCTGCACAGCCTCTGCTGGCAATTGAGCCTGCAACCCAGGCATGTACTCTGACCGGGAATCGAACCGTGACCTCTTGGTTCACAGGTCGATGCTCAATCACTGAACCATGCCGGCTGGGCCCAGGGAATATTTTTGGGGGAATACTGCCTTAGGTAAATCATGAACAAATGATACAATGAAAGATGTGGAAAGCAGTCTGCAAACTGCAAGGTACTATGCGATGTACAACATCAGATGACAGCAGGGGCCTTCAACAAGCTACAGCCAAAATCTAAGAAAAGCACTCAGGTCACCCACACCATGCCCTAGAGCTGGATGTCTAATGTAGAAAAACTGCACAGAGAAAAATCCCACATCAAGCCCACTGAGCATGGGGCTAATGAAATAAAAAAAACATCGGGGCAAGGGTAGGAAGATGTCTTTCTAAGGGCACTGGCAAGACATTCACTCCACCCACAGGTCAGTGGGCTCTCAGTGGATACACGCACTGGCAGGTAGGTACCTAGATCTGACAACTTACAGGCTTGCTGCTGGTGAGTCCCTACAGGTAAGGTCACAGGGCAGTAGGCTAGAGCTATCTGAGGCTCTTTGATTTATGTTGAAGCAACATTTTTTGGTAACAATCAGGTAGTTACTGACTTTGCAGAGATAAAACAAAGGTAAATTCCCCACTTGAAATTTCCTCCTTAGGTCCACAACAAATGGTAATAATGGGTCCCATTAATTGGGCCTTTACTCTATTGCCAGCTGCTGAGCCAGACCATATACATACCAGTATTTCAATTCATCCTGAAAACAATTCTCTCTCATGAGGCAAAACTCATAGAATATATGTGTGTGTGTGTGTGTATGTATATGTGTGTGTATACATATGTGNCTCTCTCATGAGGCAAAACTCATAGAATATATGTGTGTGTGTGTGTGTATGTACATGTGTGTGTATACATATGTGTATGTATATATATATATATTTAAATATGGTTATTGATTTTTAGAGGGAGAAATAGAAATATCAATGAGAGAACCATCAACATCGATCAGCTGCCACTTGCATGCCTCTTGTCGGGGATCGAGCCCACAACCCACACATGTGCTCTGACTGGGAACTGAACCAGTGACTTCTTGGTGAATGGGTTGACACTCAACCACTGAGCCACATCAGCTGGGCAAAACCCATAGAATATTGATGATAACACCGAGGTTTGGAGAAGTTAGTGACTTGCCTAAGGTCCAAACTAGTAAGTGGCAAAGCTGGGGCCCTGGACAGGGGTCACAAACATTTTCTATTCTGGACCCACAATATGTTATTTACAACTCTTTAAATGTGCCAGAGATTTTTAAAAGTATGAGATAAACGACATACACATAGAAATATTTCCTTCTAACATCTAACTGTCACACACATTGTATTCTGGAGACAACTGATGTACTACACTAATTTTCGTCTTCATTTTACAGCTTTTACTTTATTTTTCTCTGTTCCATTAAAAGCCCAAATTAGTCCAGATTCATTCTCCGTTGGGTCCAAGTTTACTCGTCATTGCTCTTTCCAAACTCCTTTATATTCTTAAAAGTCACATCAAATGCGGGTGAGGTTTTTGGTATAGGAACATATCAGTTGCTAATGGTAGTTTTCAGAAACAAATATGAACTCTACTCTATGCAGCAGAACCATTTACTGTGTGCACTGCATCTTTTTTACACTGCGGCAAACCCTTTTTTAGTAGTTACTATTGTGTGTGCCGACCATAAGAATTTATATACCACTTCTTTATGAAGTCTCGGGAGAAAACCATGTTATGAAATCCTCTCTTTCTTTTTATTTCTCAGAGAAAGGAAGGGAGAGATAGAAACATCAATGATGAGTCATTGATAGCTGCCTCCTGCACGCCGCCTGCGGGGGTCGAGCCCACAACCCAGGCATGTGCCCTGACCAGGAATCGAGCACGATCTCCTGGATCCTAGGTCGATGCTCAACTGCTGAGCCACACTGGCTGGGCAGAAATCCTCTCTTGTACCTTTTACTATTTCACAGCAGACTGAAATTAGCAATACAAAGAAATTAATTATGATAACAAATGTACCTAATATACCCCGTATATGATGATATGGTGTTTAAGTTTTATGGGCAACCTGGGAGAAGAAATTCTTCCTGGATGCCGATGTGCTGTTAGAACAGTACCACCAGCATTCCTACTTTATCTGAAATAAGAATTATTTTGCATTTTCTTCGGCGAGCACTGAATGTGCAGTTTTGAGCAGAGACCCATGGGCTTTAATGGTTCGATCAAAGGCCAAGCACTTAAGGACATACATAAGCACAAAAAAGAAAGGTTATTTTGGACTGCACAGTGCTAATAAAGCAACGCTGCTTCCGAAAGCAGCGCTGGGAAATGGGCTACCTCGTTAAGAGAAACTGGGAGTTCTGGACGGTGGGCTGGCTGCTCTCCGTGCTCGCGGGGTTGGCGGCGGCCGCGGGCTGCGTGGCCAAAATAACCT